ACAAGGATTTAGAGGGAAGCAGCAAGGAAGGGAATTCTGTCCCTCACCAATATGCAGGAGGCAATGATGAGGTTTAGTCCTGCAATGAAAAAATTCTAAAAACTTCCTCTGAAAATAAAAGAAAGCTTAGATCACCATCAGTCACTGGGTAACCTATTTTAAGCCCATCAGAGCCAGTGCGCTGTTCTCATGTTGCTAATTAAAAATGATAGATTCATCAATTAATCTCTCTTCCTGTCCCCTAGTCTTGTTACAAGATTTTTCAAAGGGACAAATGGTAGTTAGATGCCCACAAGTATCATTGCAGCCCTGAAAAGTCGTGCCTTTGTCAACATGAACCCGACCTTGTCTCTTTAGACTATGAAATGACAAAAAGAAAACCATAGGAAACTTTGCTACTCTGAAAAACACAAAAAAATTATAATTTGGGAATAATCTTATCCTCTGTACAATGAATATTGCTACATAAATCCTTCCTGGGCTCCAATCCGAACTTGCTCATTGATAGATAAATAAGCCTCTGTTAAATTTGGCAGAGAGAGATGTCCTAAGCTTAGGCTCTTAATTGAAACTCAATTGCGATACTTACTACAGAGCAGTCAAAAACACTCCACTATTTAGGAAAGAAGCAATGAAGGCAATCTATTTTTATTCACATTGAAATGGAGACAAAGATAAAGGTCCTGCTGTTAGCTTAGCAAAGTGCCAGCCACATAAAGCAAGCCAATGAAATGGGTTATCTTTTCCCCTTTCAATATATGTATCACTGGGCAGTGAAAGAGAATTGGGGTGTACAAGGTTAACAAGCCAGCATCATGTTATGAAGCAAACGATAAAATTGTCTTACAGTTCTTAACTCTGACCTGTTCCAGCGAAAAGCTGCCAAGCAGAATTATGTCATCCTGAACCTCTCTCTCAAACTGTTCGATATATGAAGGAATCACTTCATCTTCAAGCTCCCTGTGAAGGTCACGTGCCTTACTGGAGCTGACAGGCATCATGGAGTCTGGAAAATCTTCACTGGCGACACAGGCTGCTTGAAGCAAAAGTGGCAGATTATCTCTTAGCAAATGGGAGTTCATTCACTGGTTTAGTACCTTCTCAGTTAACATGTTTGGCCCACCAACATTTTAAGACAACAATTCACTCTGTAAAATGAACACTAATAAATAACAGCAGTAGAACAACTGGTGGGTTCCAAGTGCCGTTACCAGGAAAACTCTCCTCAAGAGCAACATCTGCACACAGGGATGAATTTAGCATGTGCAGCTTGTTCCTTAAATGATTTTTAAAAGGAGTGCTCTGCATTTCCCCAGTGACTTCGCTCCCCTGTAAATCTTAAAGGAGTTTAGATTTGGAACGACTTTGGCTTTCATTTCTGAGGAAGAGGAGGAATAACTGCAATTGAAAGGGAGTTTTAGGCAGAACCACACCAAGCATTTCATCTTCCTCCCACTCACCCAGGAGGATCAGATTCCTCCCCCAAGTGTGTGCATGCAGCTCCTGCCTAATTAATTGGGTCCAGTTTTGCTCTCACCCACATCATTTCCCTGATTTCACTGTGGTGACGTATGCAGAACCAAAGGGTACATGCTGCACATAAACAAAAATAAATCGTATTCATAAAGTCAACCTTAAAGAGAAGCTGTTTCCTTTTTTCAGTTTAATTCATCATGCTACATAAAAAATAGATCTATTCATTGATACCTGCTACAGTACTAATACTAAGTTTGGGTCATAAATAATAAAGACTACTATTTTTCTCATTTCTCCACATTAGGATCACTAAGAAATGACAGATATCAGGTTGTCCACACTGACTATCTTTCTGGCCTCATATTTCCGTGTGCAAGTGCATGTTTTTATAGTTCTCTGTGCCTTTCTCTGCAAGAAACTGCCATATCTAGTTATTTGTTTTTCTCTTTGTCCATCCTAAAGCAGTTAAAAGATTTTTTTTTCTCACTCCTCTTTGAAGTCTCTCATTTTCTAATGAAGACCAGAAAAGGAAAGATAAAACTAAGACTATTAAAATTTTCAGTTGTGCTCACTCCTCATTGTTTAATGACTTTAATTGTTGAGCCTCCGAGTACTTAAATCACCTCAGTGCCACCAACACACAGGAAGAAGGGTGGGTTTTTTATTTAATTGCAACAGGATACAATTCAAAATCATGTTGGGGGAAGTGTACAGATATAAACAACCCAAACCATTACCTTAGGGTACACAATCTCTTCATGTAGCATCTTACAAACCTAATGAAAAGTGATTTGACCTACAACTATTAACTGCAAAAATAAAACAATATTTACATTTAAATTTACTGTAACATTAAGGGTTTGGCTAGGAGAGAGAAAATCCAGAAAGCACTGGAAAAGGAAACATTGCCAACAGCAGAAGACACAGCATCGCTTGCTCCCCTCAATGCTGTGTTTTACTCAACGGGCCATATGCTCAGCTGTTATAAATCAGCTGCTTTAATGCTTTCACAGGAGCATCCTGGGAAGACTGTACATTCCTATCTCAGGATCCTCTGGATGTAGAGAGATAGTCCTTATATATCAAAAAAGAAAAAAAAACATTCGGTTCACAAAGACGACCATGCAGTGATTCATCAAAATATCCTTTTTCTTTTTTGCTATTGTTCTTTTTGTGAGGAATCGTATCAAGTGAACTCAGTTTTGGTGGAAGACACTGGGCTCATTAGCACATTTTGTGGAAAAAGAGCAAAAGAAGAGAGAGAACATTTTCAAAAACCTTTTAAAGGGAAATAACTACTAAAAATAGAGATAAATTACAATTCAGATTTGAAAAATATTTGATGGAAAGATACATATGTTCATTTAAGCACATAGAAAAAATGTTCATTTGCCTGAGCTGGAAACGGGGAGAGAACAAGGTGGTTCAGCTGGTCTATTCCTTCCACGCTGGCTTTGCAAAGAGACCTCTGAAACTCGGTCACCATCAGGTTGCTCCTTGTCTGAACTGACCCACAGGTTACAGGCTTGAGCTGCTGCCACAGAGCAATGCTTCACCAAACCAAAGCTTCCACCTCCTTGCTCTACAGAAGTAACCATGGTGTTAAAAATGTTACTACTTTGTACACAGGGGACGAAATGGCTGAAAATTTATGAGGAAATTCATTGATAGATTGATAAACTAATTAAAACCCGGCTGCTTCAAGTTGTTAGCATCTGTGTCAAACTTTTCATTGCCTCGGCTGTACTTAACACTGCGAGTCATACTTTCCACATAGTTTAAATCACTGCTTCTCCTTAGCACAGGCTGTATTTGCAGATGCTGTGCTGTAATTAAAACAGTCTCTGTGGTATTAGCTTGGCTGCTTGTAACTTCATTTACTCCTGCATTTGTCCATCAGATAGCAGTGGTTTATATACTGAGATGAGAATTTAAATGGTAGGTTCACCAGCAGACTACACCTGAGCATGGGTTTGAATGTATAAAGCAGCTATAAACTCCACATGGAAAATGCATTTTGGCTGTCTGGTTCTAGAAGACTCTGTGTATAAATTGCAGCTTTAAAAGTACATCACCAACGGCTCATGCATCAGTTTCAAACAACTAAAATGCTGCAAAACACTGCACTTAAATTTTTAGGTTGTTGCCAAAGAATAACATAATAGAAAATATTTTTTATGGTATTCACCTAGCATCATTTTAGATGCACATGGATCACAATCTTACATTGTTTGAGAGATTTTATCCCTAGATAAAAAATATACAGTCTACAGCTTTCTCTAAAAAACAAACCACCAATGTTGCCTTTTAAGTTGCCTTATAATATGAACTAACACGTACCACAAGAGTCACCAACAGGTTACTCAGCGAGAAAATGCTTTAAATATACAATTATACAAATTCTGAGCCATGTTCTTTCCTTTCCTTTGGGGATCATCTATTAATTAGGACTGTATGACTACATGATTTTTCAGCTCAGTGGTCAAATGAAGAAAAGAAGCAGTTCTGTAAGAGTGGAACCAAATGAATCCTAGTTTTCTATGGATTTTCTGATGTCTAATAAGGGTCAAACTCCCATATTATCTTTTCCCTCAGTGGAGACATTGATAATGCTTGTCTGCTCTGCTCAGCTGCCCACTTCCATAAAACCGGTAAGGAAGTCAGACCTGTGAGACTTGCTCTCTGTTAAAAAAAAGGGTTTGGAAGTGAACAACAGATTCAAAAATTGGGAGGGAGAAACACAGACAGGCAGAAATAAATACAGACTGAGGTGCACACAGAGGTGGAGATGGCACAAGCCTCACTTCCTCAGGAAAATCTTGCTCTTTTCTGAATTTTATTCACCCAAGCCAAGAAAAGTAAAAAATTCAGCTAGGACGGGGCACAATATTCACCCACAAGACTAGCTTGGATACCCATTATGGCACTTTTAAGAAATAAAAGCACTGAGGCACCGCTCGAGACAGGAGACAGCAGCAGGCTGTAGCATCTCCCCCACTCACTGCCTTCATGCCTACACGGGGGGCTATGACGTGCTCCTGGAGCGCGAGACACGCGTGTTAATGCATTTGCTTGCCCTTGAATTGAATCGATGAGCTGGCAGCTCAGCAATCTTGGCAGCCTCAGCGCGAGATCACCATCCACAGAGCACACTGTGTACGTTCAGATGGCTTTGGATGGATGAGAGATTTGAACCTGTCTCACACCCCACGTAGCCAAACAGTAATAAGAGCATTTTGCCTCTCATGGTGGTTTGATAAAACTAGTTGGAGAAAAAGACATTTTTAGTTCAAACATACCAGGTGAGTTTAAATTATAAACATTTGAGGAGATCAGCGAAACCTTATTTCTCTCTAAATATGCTATTTGCTATTATCCTCTGTAAAGCATCTCTTCATCTTAACAATATTCATTAATGCTATTTGTAATATAATATAAAGTTTTAGGGCACCTAGCTGAAGGAGAGAGTAACGACCGATGGATGGGGAAGGCTTCCCCTTCGCTTCCTAGTTCCCTTGCTTAAAAGTGGACAAATACACGCGGTGCAATTCAGCTCACTTACCTTTAGCCATGCAAAAAAGCAATGGTCAAGTCTAAGTCAGCTGTCCAAGACCCTTCTAGAGCCAAAGGAAAGAGAAGAACTGCTTCCAGGGCACGATTTGTCTAATCAGCTAAGAGGTGTCTGCGTGAGGTGGGCTGAACCACTGCCCAGAGGTGCTTCTCTCCCCTTTCCCACCACTTTGGGGGAGCCCCAGAAGCTAACTTTCAGAAAGCTAATGGAAAGGGTGCTGGACCCCACCCTGGGGCAGCCTGTAAAATGACATCAGGACATTTTCCTTAATCATACAGGGTTATTTTGATGATAAAGTTATTGAAGAATATGAAATGCTATAAATATTGGTAGACTGGGACTACACAAGTACCACAGAGAGATACCCCATGTCAATCTTCCCTATAGAAATAATGTTGACTTCACAGCCAAACTTGTTTTTATTTTGATCTATGTTGTTGCAGGATAAAAGCAACAATCAACCTGCGGCACTGCTATAATCTTTCTCAGTAATGTGGAGCTCTACATTAACATGCAACAATAGAGAGCTTGCTAATAATTTGTTAAAGGTTTTTGCTTAAACTATCTGCATGAATTTAGCTGTGATGGTTGTACTTTCTTTTTCTTGCATTTAAAATGAGACAAAATGGGTTTCAAAGATGTTACTGATATGCCCAGTGCCAGCTCAAGGATTTTGCAACCCTAGGCAAACGAAAATGTTTGCCTCTTCTAGAACAAAGTTGCTCACAAACTAAATAGTCATAAAACATGTTGCAACTCCTGGAGCTCCAGTGCCGTAGGCAACCGCCTGCTCTGTCTCCCTGACAGAGTAGGTCTTGTGAATAACTGAAATATAACAGGAAACCTCATACTGATACAAAGAACAGAAAATGCTTTTGCACAAAAGGCCTCTGCTGAAAAAGGAGGGGGGATACCCCAAAATATGAGGGCAGCCCTGAGCTGGCGCTTGTTCATATGTCACTTCTCCTAGGATGAACCAGAGGAGAGCAGCAGACATGCACCTTGTGTAAAGGTTGTGGTGGTAACAGTCTCATCAATCAACTGGGTGTTAAATAATGCCTGTAAAAGTAAGTGAAGCCAAAGTAAGGCTGTTGGCTTGAGGTGAAGAAATCTCTTCTCCTGCACTTTGTTGTTTTTACTGTAGGTGGAACACCAGTTTGTATTCTCTAACAAAGCCACAGAAAACATTTTCTTACTCACCTGGTAGTGTAAATCCTTATGTTGATAACCTCAAACACTGTATGACATGACCCATACATCTGACAAATGGCCCACCCATTTATGAGCTTAAATAAGGATTTAGATTTCTAGCTTTGAGCACATAAAAAATATTTCCAGTCTTCTTTCATAAGAGTGGAATTCAACATGCAATGAAGCAGCCTAGAGAAAGCACGCCACTTAAGTTACACTTAAAACCACATAAACATGACTCAAAACAAAAACATTTGGGCAAAAAGATCTTACAGGCTCCCATTAAAATCAATGTCCCTTTTGTTTCTGAGTTCAAGGGGATAGATTACCCATTCTCCTCCCCACAACCAGAGTCAAGAGTTCTATTTTTCTTTATGCAACCGATTTTGTTATTTACCTTGGAAGTCCAGCATCTTGTTTTCTTCATCTAGAAGCTTCATCAGTTTACTGTACAGGATTTGCTCATCAAATTTCACAGGATCTTAAAAAAACAACAACGAAACATCTATTGTTTCTTCCAGTAGTATTTCAGGAAACACTATTTTAAACTATAAATAAAGATATAAAAATACAAAAGTTAAGAAACCATTTGACACTTAAAAATAGTTTTCATAGTGCTAGTTTCATAGCAGAGGTGACTGTCATTTTCTTCTGAGTTATGAAAGACAGTTTAAAACAAAAAAAATATAATCGTATACTTTTAAATAGTGAACAATATTATAGCTTGATCTGAACTGAAACTGGTTTACTAATTCTGCCAATAGACTAGTTGAAATGATTATTTATATTCAAATTGCTAGATGAACTCTATTTGACTCAATAAAAATCAAAGTACCTAGTTTCTTTTCTAATGTGATTTTGGATCCTTATTAGAAATTTTACCTTGCTGTCCATAATACTAACATGTTATCTAATATGAGTAGTCATTACAGCACACTGAATTTTGATTTTGTGGGTAGTCAGTCATTCAATTTCCCAGTAACGTGCAGATTTTAAACAGGAGTAAGAGACACACACACGTACCTTTTTCCACGAGACCTAAAAAATTACTTCAAGTGTCTATATTCAAGGGATAAATGACCAACTGAGACTGTCTTCTCTCCAGATCTCCCAGACCCTGGCTTCTCTAAGTTGGTAGAAGACAGATGGTAGAACACCAAAGAAATTCATACAAGGTAGGTGAACTGAAGTACAGCTACAAGCGACCTTGGGTGGCTCTTTTTAAGTGCCCGATAAAATCAAAGAATGAATTTTCTTTACCATGAAATTTCAGAGTCAAGTTTTTCAGTAACACTGAGCATTCAAAGAGGGAGGCTTCTGCAAACCTCTTCTGCAAGTACAGAATCTTTTACATTTCTTTTAGCACGTAACATTGAAATGTTCCTTTGGTGAGGGGGGAAGCAAATCTATAGTGGGGTGTTGTTTGTTCTCAGGGCATTATCAACTCAGACAAATTTCCAGAACAAACTTAATTTATCAAATATAGAAAAGATAATTGCTAATATCTTCATTTTCACAGGATAACCCATTAAAGAATCCCATATGATGAACACATTAAAATTATAGTTAACTTTGTGTAATAGAGTTAGTGGCTGAAGATTTGCTTTTCACTAGCTATTCTCTTTGGGCATTGGGTCTGACTTGCTTAAGTCATAGGAAGAGTGTAACTTTAAAGTGTGCCCTGATTTCTTCACCTTGTTCTGCTTTTGTCTCTTGTTAGTGACAAGCTGCTAGCTGGAAAGAGGAGGTAAATGAATACGGTTTCAAATCAGTGGGTGGCCATGCAGGACCAGACTTCAGTTCTGACTGTCCTTTTAATTCCGTCCACTACATACAAATGTAGATCCACTTATTTAACGCTTCTGCAAGGAAAAGGAAACCAGACAACGAGCCTGGTTTGTGAGTATCACTGAATCAGACTGGCTGAGATGGGAAGGGATTTCTGGAGGTCAGCTGGTCCAGTCCCCCCTGCTCAAACAGGGCCACCTAGAGTCAAGTTGCCCAGGACCATGTCCAGATGGCTTTTGAATATCTCCAAGGTGGAAGACTTGCTCTTGGTAGAGGTGTTGGTAAACATAGCATTATAACTGCTCTGCAGATGTCAATGCAACCAACCTGAGGCCAGTACCATTGCTAAAAGACCTTTAACAAACAACTGTTACCCCAACCTTTGAGTGACATTTTTGCTGGGGAGAAAAAGGAGGAATGCCAAAGGACAGCTGTTCACACATGGATCTCGGGTCTAGACTGATATGCAAGTGCCTAAAATCACCTCTCCACCCCCATCCCCAGAACTGGACAGACTTTCTCAGAGATTTCGTCCATTCCAAATTTTTTAAAAAATAAATAAATAAATAAATAAATTAAGTGTATCACTCAGCCTCTTCAACACAGGCAAAAGAACATTTTCTTCTGATGAAAACTGTACTTCCATGTATCCCTTATGTCACCACTCTATCCATACATGTTTTCAGGCACAGACAATTACAGAAATCTAATCTGCTTTTTATTCTCTGGTTATGAAGCAGATAATGACTCATGAAGTCTATTCATAAGATGAACCAAGACATTACCAACAGAAAAAAAAAAAAAAATCTTTCATTTAAAAACTCTGAGCCAGAAGTTGACTTCCAAGGTATTACATTGCTGTCCTATACAACAAATGGTGAAATTACAGGGGTTAGATGTAATTCACCCTTGATAAACCTTGATTTTTTTCACCAGTACACAGAAATTCAAGCTACTGATGTGTATTACAGCCTGCTTTTCTCAGTCACACAAGTTTTTGCCTCAAAAGTTTAAACTTCTATATCTACTCAAAGTTTCTCATGAATTTCAGAGATGACCTACTTTGATACCCTTTAGAGTAGACAAATTTTTTAAGCTTTGACTACAACTGCGTGTCTAGAGAGTCTCTGCAGTACAAATAAGCACAAGGTTTAAAAAAGCGAAGGGCTAGGAAGGTAACACAGAAGAACTGGGTCTTGCGTGCTATCGGGTTGTTAGTGCTTAACAACAGGAGCTGGGCCAAAGCATTCAGTGCATAGCTAAGCACTTCATTACCATGATGATGTTCTTACTTAAGTCCATGCAAATTCAGGCAGGCCCTTTCCCACCCTTTTTTATCTAAAAGCCATGACAGGGAAGGAGAATTTCCTCCGCTAGACAATACCTCCTGGTTAATCTCTCTCATACTTATGCATAACTTCTGTTCTCCCAGCTCTGCAGTCACACCCTCCCACTCCTCCCTATCGCCCACAGACAGCAAAGCTAAACATCTCAGCTAAATTGGCAAAAAGAAAACCAAAAAAACCTCCTTGCGTGCTAGGAAATTTTACGGACTCCGGGGTTTCCTTCTGTTAGGCCAACACACTTTCAGCTCAGTAATAAAATTGTTCTCCAAGAAGGACTTTGGAAGCAGGGTTGCAAAAAAGCTACAGCTTAGTACTCAGTTCTGGACTAACTTCGTTAATTAAAGAGAACATGGTGTAGACAATGTTCTCGGAGCATGCTTCATTCTGCTACGGTAGCGGAGTGAATACAGCACAGCCTCACTTTTACCCATCCATTAACTCACTGTCCTTGATCAAAGACTTTGTATACTGCCTATCGTGTTCAGAGCAGTTAAAGCTTATAATTTAAATTGTAAACCTCAATATTTAAATAGAACTGCATATGTGATCTTTGTCACCTCATTTTCATGAATGGAAAAGAATATACTGACACTAAAATTACATACTTAATTCTGCCTCACCTTCTTCACTGACCTCCATCCCACACTGCCTTGGGTTTATTTCCTCATCCATCAACGGGTCAAAGTAATTTCTGCTGTATTCATTTCCTGTGGAAAGCACATGAAGTAAGGGTCAGCGATTATTAGAAGCACATGAACCAAAATGTTAATTTTGAAATCGACACCAGCAAGCAAAGGGGCATTTTTTGCTACTTTATAAGCTTAATTTTTTTAACAAGTCCTCTAAGCCTACTAGTACTGCAATTATCATCTTGTGAAAGGTCAGAAAAGGTAATTCTGGAAACAAGTGCACTTTATGTTACTTTTGCTCAGGAACTAATGAGAAAAATTCTCAAATTTAGATGATGGAAAGATAAGAAAAATTTTAAAAAAATCCAGTATCCCCAACATAAGCCAAATTATTCTTGAAACACATTGTACACATTCAACAACAAGTGAATTGCCCATGCTGCAGAGGAATTTGTGTTTCACAGATGACCCCTCCAATTTCAACAGTTTTAAATTTCACCACTGAGGTTTCAACGTCTGGTGCATCTTTAATACTGTATTCAACCAGAGAAGTGTTTAATTACAGAGGAGATACTAGAATACTGCCTCATTAATCTGAACAGCAATTATATTCAGTTGGGCTAGGTAACTAATCCAAGATTTTGATGGGATAAAAACACTCATTTTAGCACTTTCCATTTCAACAGCTAGTTTTATCTGCTCTTTAGAAACTAATCAAGTCTACAAAAAAAAAAAGTCATTTGTTAGACTTATCAAGGAATAATGCAGCATCTAGCTGGGAGGAACTCCCAGTAAAAGCCAGAAGAATTTTCTTTACACAAGGGAGGAGGGAGGGCTTTTTCTTCAAAGCATGTCCTTCCTTCAGCAAAAGTGCTACACTGTTAAAACCATCCTCACGTTCATTGGGTTTGCAAACAGAGCAAATTATTGCTAAAGAGAGAAAAAGTAAAATAATTAAGCCCATAACAAATTTTAAAATTGCTTGAATAGACATAGTTCTATATCCTGGAAAATACATAAGAGCTAAATGTACAAGGGGGTTAATTCATCCAAGATACATTATAGTAGTCTACAGTGTATTTGGTTTAGGATCAAAAATAATCCAAGCAGCAGCTCTTTTTCAGAGACTAAATGAAACTTTGATATGAAACTAGGTTTAATTTATATTTCTGGACTGGCACATTTTGACTGTCAGTCTCTGTTCCTTCAATGTAGTAAGTACAAGAACTGAAAATTTGCTTTACCTTGAGGTCTCAATAAAGAAAAAATAAATGAGTTTCATTTTTGTTACTTTATCTGTCAACAACTACTAGGCTGGTATGAATCTTGGCAGTATGTAATCAAAGTCTTATGTACTGCAATAACAGAGCCATTCTACCTTATTCACTGTAATTGTTTTTCTCTAGCACAAAGCATTGTGATGTTATATGAACACCCCTTCACATGTTGGTAAAATAATTCACCCATGTGCTAAAAAAGAAAATGATGATGCATTTCTTTATTCAATTACCTCATAGCTGTAAATGTAAATTGCTGGAAAGTATGTGGCAACCATACAAGCAATACTCAGCTAGTGCATAGGCTTTTTGCACAGTCTTAATATCACAACAGTTTTTATTGAATTTTAATACCCCATGTTCTTTATCCTGTGGGTCTGGTGTGAAACTCTGAGGAGACGACTTTTGGGCAACTCTTCCGGACAGAATAATTGGCATTTAGGAGGAAGTGTCATGTTATATTTGAGTCTGTGAGGCATGGAAACCATTATTCAAAAAAGAGACACGCTGACAAATACTATTAAACAGCTTGCTCTTTGGTCCTCTTTAAAAGAACAACCTCAACCCTTCTTTGAGGAGTATGAAATATTTCATCCGGGGCTTTGGCTCTGTCAGAACCACCCACAGCTGGAGACAGGAAGTTATGCAGAAGTAAAAAGAACAACCAGCTTTGATTTCTCCAGAGCAACGTACACACTTTAAAACCTACATAGGTAGAATGAGTGGTAAACGCAGAATCACCTCCTTATGGTGATTTTATAGATAACAAGCCATTTTAAACTGCAGGACTCCACAGAAGACTTTCAGTGAGGCTTTCTGAAGAGTTGAAATCACTGCAAACCTTAGATCACTGCTCTTGGGGGATTTTTGTAGGTATTTTGGTCTTTTTCTCCCCCCCCCAGCTCAACATACACCTTGAGAACTGGTGTGACCAGGAGGTCTGGGCTCTGGGCAGGTACTAAGATTTGTTGGGGGCAGGGGGAGTTGCTTTGGTTTTAAACTACAAAATTATCAATTTTAGTCAACATAACATACTGCCCAAGGCATTTTGCTAATAACATTTTGTGAGCATGTGAACAGATTACTAATCATTTCACATTTGCTTTTGGAAATATTTGAAAGTGTATAACATGTAAATTAACAGTCCACTAAGGAATTCACATTGCTCTGCTTCGTGGTATAAATACAGTAAAGTAAATGTTAATACAGAGCTTGCTTGCAGGTATTTCGAACAGCAGTGTATAGCTTGCTGCTTTCAGAAAGCAAGTTACTTTGAATACCTGCTCCTACAAAGACTTGGCCAACTTTAGAAGCTTAAGTCTTTGCTTTGATCCAGAGGTTCACTCAAACCCATTAACTCAATTTGAAACCCTATTCACCCCTCAAAATTGTGTTATTTCATGTGGAAAACACAATAGATAATTCAGGAAATCCGAATTGAAGTGCAAAACCACAGATTATCTACAAATTCAAATAAAAAAGGAAAGAGGGGTGTTGGCACAACAGTGACCAGGTGGGAATTTATACAGTTTAATTAAAGCAAGAAGAGTTGCTAATAAAATTAGCATAATCCTTGGATGCAGCCCATGGGACTGCACACGTATTACTAGGACTGGATGAAACTCTAAGATGGCTTTCAAGCTGAGATGTCTGTAGTCAATTATACAGTCTATGTCCTGAGAATACCACAGAAATGGCATGACTAAACTGCGTTTCTACAACGTCTTCTACTCCACAAAGAGATCAGGTAGCCAGTATCAATATCATATCAAGGGTACAGCATGGCGTTTGGATGACAGGCAATTATTCCATTCATATTGCACTATTGATCTAGATTTTTAGTTTAATGAAAGAATAGACAAAATTGCTGGATTTGTTAAGTGCCTCCTGACCAATGTAAAAATGAAGGCATTATTAATAGCCAGGTGAGCGATTACTAAAAGCTTGAATAAGCATTTACTGGTGCTTGTTTTTAGAGTGATGCTGGGTCTTCAGGATAAAAGCAAAAATTTTGGCATGAGCCAGCTTTCATTAGAAGGCAATGCAGATTATGGTCTGAGCAAACTTGCCATATTAGGTAACAGCTCTCCCTTTTCAGGCAGCAGTGTGGTCAACACGTGTCTCTACCAATGACTTGGTAGAACATTACTGGGCATTACTAACGCAACTCATAAAAGCTTTTTGCATATGATAGAATAAGACAGACTAAATTTCATCTTTCCAAGATGCTTCTGAGACAGCATTTTGACCCAAAGTGCTTTTGAAACATAGTGATGCAGCTGGGAATGGAAAAGAGTAGTCCTCCTTTCCACACAGCTGTCTTAAAGCATTGATATCAGCAGCAACTCCTGTTGGTGAACATCATGGTAAATACTCACTGTCTCCATTCAACAGAATTGAACCTATTTCCCTAGAGATACTTTTCATTTTACTTTGCAGATACGGCACTTTGGGCAGCCCAAACATAAGGTTCTGTGCTAGCATATTTCCCAGTTTCTTTATGAGAAGAGTATGCGACCGCGTGAGCCAAAGTAGCATCCTGGGGTCAGACCACAATCCTGTCAAAGAGAGGTGCCCACCTTAACTTGGCCAGCAAGAACTAAGACTTGGGATCAGGAGGAAGGGGAGAAAAGGGTCCCATCTCCTGCATTTCCAACTGCTTCACTTATTCACCCTTCAAGTCATGGTGGGTCTTGTGAGTAGCACTGCCGCTCACCTGTTTTCCTGATTCAGTACCTACAGTGACAAAGCTTGATATCTGCAAGTTGCTTCTTTGTAGATACAGACTTTTGCTTCTAATCTGCACTTTGAAAAAAATCTATAAAGAATTATAAAAAAATCATTCAAAACAATTAAAGCATAAGAGAAGAGAAAGAAGCCTGCCCCCTTAAAAAAAAATCTCACAGAATGCAGAAGTGAAGAAAAAGAAAAATCATCAACCAAAACTGCATAAGCAGTGAGAGTTCCCGGACAGTGAAAAACTGACTGGATTTCTGGCGAATTTATAGGTTCTTAGTTGATTTAAACAGTGATTTAAAACTGGAAAATAATTTAGGAAAGTTTGAAACTTTCACAAGAAAACGTTTTGAGTTTTTATTCCAAAATTGTGTTGCTAGATTTACCCACATCTAAATGTTATGAAGATGATAAAACTTTAGTTTTGAAGAACATAGTGAATTAATATGTAATCCACAAATAATGTTAACTCTCCGTTCTCATTTTGTCAAGAAAAAAAAAAAAAAAGAGAATTATTATGAGTTAACCAGAAGTTATACTTTTAGTTTGGATTTTTAATTGTCATTACTGAACCATGATATCTGTTATGTTTACCTCAGCTCGTGGCCATTACAAATGCCTTTAATTAAATTTACATAGGCTGATCTAGGTTACATATAGAAGCTGAATGCTTTAATTAAGACATATTATTATTTTAGATTTACATCTAACATTATCATCTGTAAGTATAGATAAACATTACCTATATTATTTTAGATGTAGATCTAAAATAAGTTTCCTGGGAAGCACGAAGTTATTCCAGATTATCACTAAATACATGGGGGGGATAGAGTGTTTTACACAGAGCTTCAAATTTTCATGAGTACCAGGCAGAATTCAATGAAAAATTATGCATTAATGGCATCCTCAAACTGAAGAGCATTAAGCAAGTGACTGGATGGCAGATTATGTCTTAAAAACACAGCTTATTAAACACTACCATCACCGGGCGACCTCTCAATTTTTAAAAAGTTTTAAAGGTATTGTATGTCATTTTCCTTATCCTCAGTGGAGACCGTAGGTAAT